TAGTAAGAGAGAGAAGAGATTATCAAGTTTAGGACAATCCTTATATCATAGTTCAACGCTGATCAACAGTTATAAAAAGCCCCAAGTCACCCAGGTGAAGTCCCAAAGTGTTCCTTCATTTTCGATGAAACTCACCATTTTGACACGAATTCGAAGGTGGAAGTCTTTGAGCGTGGCGACAAGGTGCAAATCTACAGCGCCAGTCAGAACATTTGGCGCCTTGGATGGGGGATTCGGAGGGCATCTGGGATTTCACCATCAAAACTGGGATTTATGCGGATGAATATAACTTATATAACCCATTCTCCTGGCATAATGGGATAAATGGAATATGCCTTTTGGAACATAACCAATATCACTTTATAATACTTGGTACAATCTGGTAATCAAGCATGGCTGGGAAGTCCTCATCCAGGTGTTGATGCACCTCGCAACTTCAACAATTCATTGCCTCTGCATCGCTTAAAAACTTTCCTATCGGTCATTGATTTCTTATAACCATTTCATTTTTTCGATACTTCCGCCCCGGCATGGGCAAGGGATGATGGCACTGTGTGGGGTGGAACACATTCACAAAAAAGGTGGAGAAAACACCATTGAAAAACGTTTCTAATGTCGCTTCAAAAGATGAGAAACTTATTTGTTTCTCTTTAAAACATGTGTTTGATTTGTTTACCAGCTAACGTTGAATCACACTATTTCTGGTGATTATCAGCAGCTGCTGTTTCTCCGAATACAGTAATATAACCCAAACGTTTGGTCTCACGATTTCATTGTTATAATCATTGTTGGTGTTTTTTCGGATCATGATCCCATTTTTCGTGGGTGGAATGGGTTGAAACCGGCTTCAAACCTTGGAAGATCTAATGTGCAGGAAACCAATGAGATATCACCCGGAGGTTTGGATTCCTGGGGATATCACCTAGAGAGAATCCCCTTCATAGCAGAATTCCAGGAATCCAAACTGAGGGGCCCAACGCACCAGATATAATGATTGGTTTTGGGATGTACATGTTTGCTAAGATTTGAAGTCAATGATTTCCAATTGAGGTGGCGAAATCAGGATTTGTTTTTAGCGGTGTTTAGTGTTTTGACCGGCTGATTCATTCTGTTTTTCTTTGGGCTATACATCTTGCAGTATTTCTTAGCACAAATGTACACTGACAATGCCCGCTATGAGGCTTTAAGCAACTTTGATGAGTGAGTATTTTGCGCAGATCATATAGGTATGCGTCAAATCTGGGCAATGTAATCAGAAGTAGGAAGCCTGATGTCCATCGAGAGCGAGTGAGAGAATCCAAATGTGTTTGTTACTACAAGAAATGCCAACAAGTCACGTTGGGGTCACAAGAAATGCCAACAAGTCACGTTGGGGTCAAGCATGTGTATTCATACCATGTTTTACCCAAGTACATGTTGTAGCTTACAAGTCAACTAAAATGGACTCCACGACCCATCTAGCCAAATGTTCACCACAATGTGTAAACCCTACACGCACGCACACATAGTCATTTATTCATTAACTCATTTATTCGTTCACTCAGCTATTTATTTATTAATTCATTCATTAATCCACTAAATCCCATGAAATCACCATGTTTGCCCACTTTGTACCCATGCCCATCGGCCATCGGGGCGTTTCTTTCAGGTACCCCGATGGCGTGGTGGAGGAGGTGTTGCCCAACGACACCGCGGAAGCTCCGAAGAACTCGCTGCGGATCCGCTACGCGGACGGCGAGCGGCAGAAATGGGTAAGACCCGAAGAGCTCAGCAACACCGTGCAGCGCATGTAGAGCTGGAAGCTAACGGTATAGTAATGGCAAATAATGGATAATCATGGATATGTTATATGTCATGAATTTAAGTAACAATATAAATATATAAACTTGAATATATATGTGTTTAGATTGCAATGTGTATAATGGTATATATGCTGGAGATGTCGGAGTGCGGATGTCAAAGGTGGGGTTCTTCGCAAGAAGAGTGCCTATATAATGGCAAGGTATTCATGGTTATTTTTTGGGATAATGGATACGCAATGCTATATACCGTCTGGTAAATTAACATAACTATGGAAAATCACCATCTTTAATGGGTAAATCCACTATAAATGGTCATTTTCAATAGCCACGTTAGTTTACCAGAGGGTAATGGCTATCTACCAATAGTGGATAATTTACATGATTTCATGGGATAAGATTTGCCAGAATGATCCCGGATTCTGGCATCAACTTTCATGGGATAATCATGGGATCGTGATAAATCGTGGTAATATATTGTGGGTTTATTAACACGACCTGGTAAACAAACATAGCTATGGAAAATCACCATGCTATTAATGGGTAAATCCACTATTTCTATGGCCATTTTCAATAGCTATTTTGACATAACCAGAGGGTAATACAACAACATATTCATCGGAGAATCCTCTTGGATATCTGGAGAAGCTTGATCAAGACTGAACCCATCGCGACCTCACTGGAATGATGGCTATAGGAGCTAGGATTGGGGGATCCTGTCACGGATGCCGGGTTTTTTTCGGTGAGATATTTGCTAAAGCCCCAGCGATGCTTGTTAGTTTTTAACGCACTTTAGAGCTCACTAACTAGAGATGCAGTCCATCTAGAGAATGAATATAGTCATTGTAGCTATAAGCCAAGTTAGCTATCTTGGGGGCCCCAAATTGCAGGATGTTGCTAATGCTAAACCTCTACTTTGTGGATCAACTTTTAAAGTAATTTAAACGACTATGCTGGGTGTAACCCCCACAAAACTTGGGAGATTTGATACACCCGAGCCCAGGTTTTTTGACCAATTCCAGCGAAAGCACCGGGCTTGTGTTTTTTTCCCCGTGGCAGATCAGATAAAAAAAATGACTTGCGGGGAATTGAGCAGATCAATATATAATATAGATCAATATGGCAAATTCTTTCTATTTGATGTTGCTTTGCATGTTGTAGCAACAATTCATGCAGATGTTTTTTTTGGAAGGATTAATTTTAACCACATGAGTTTGCGATTTTTATAGCAGGTTTCAACGATCGACACTGGGGATGTGCTGGGATTCAACCAACAGGACCTGGGATTCAACCAACATAGCCATGGAGCATCACGATTTTTACAGATTATAGATAAATCAACGGAGTAAATGGCCGTGTTCAATAGTTACGGGCTATGTTGAATTGAAAACTAGAGGGTCAGCTGGTTTACTACAACTAAAGTGAAGGATTTGGATTTGTGGGTGGATATATTTGCAGTCTACTGCCTTTATGAATCAACTGGGGCTCACATTGTAGGGGCCCAACTTGGTCACCGTAGCAACCACTCAGTTGATATGCGGCCTGTTGCTGGGCATGGCCACGGAAACGTCAAATAATTTACGCCTGCCATGGCACTGGACAAAGGCACAGGCACAGGGCATGGCACTGGAAAGGGTGCGAGAAGTGAGAAGTCCTAGAACCAAATGGTTATATAGAACTTGTTAGAGCTATAGTGAGAATCAAATGAGATAAATGATGATTCATGGGTTTGTTTGCCATAAAAAGGCGCCCACGACCCCAATGGTATATTGTTATGTTCCCTTTGAAAAGGGTAAATTATTATTTGATATATCGGGATACCGTTTTTTCAGACAAGTCCAAAGAAGTTCGCGCTGGTCTCAGTGCTTTTGCTTCGAATCTTGAGGGAAATCCGTTGGGATCTTTTGGTGCTGTGCTGATTGTGCGTGTTGGTGCCAGGGTTTTCCCCCTGCCCGGTAGCAGTCAACACTTCTTAGCAGCACTGTAGCGGGCATGGCGAGAACTCATTGCATAGGACGGCTGTTATTTAGCACAGAAATCTGGGCACTACAGTCTCCGGAAGTGCGCGACTGGGTCACCAGAGACTTCGTGTTTCAATCGCTCTCCAACCAATTGAGGGGCTGCAGCCAAAATGTATGCTTAACCTCGACTAGACATGTGCGGGCGTTTGGTTGCTGGGTCTTTCAATTTTGTTGGCCAATGGGTTTGAATCAAGCGCCAGTTCCGCCACAAATATCGGCCCACGGCAAGACTGCCAAACAATCTAACCAAGAGCGGTTCTTGCATGATTACTGGTCGGTGGTTCTGATTAAACTCCGACGAAAATAGTGCAAGGTGCGTTCTCTTACTTTGTTTAGGGATGATGGTCACCAAAAAAAGGATAGTATGATATACTTTGTATTTTCCCTCATTTGGGATTGCAATGGATGACATATGACCCACCAGAATAAACTACAGAATTATCCTCGGGAGGTCGAAACCGCGTGGTCCCTTAGGGACCAACGGAGTTTCACCAACGGAGCACATACCCATTGAAAGAAATGGTGCCATCGCTGGCGGGTGCTTGTTAAGGACGAACTCGGTGAACCTCTGCCATATTATGGTGATCAGGTGATTTAAGCACCAAAATATGACGAACTATGGGCATATTGCGGAATTTCCATAAGCAACAGGATGCATTAAGAGCAGTTTGTTTGGTTTGGGATCTTGATACCCCATCTAGATGTATAGTAAGTAGTAAGTTTTGCCAGAGTGGTTTACCATATATGACTTGGACGCCTTTCTCGTCCAACGCTCTGGTGGTCGTTAAGCCCTATGACATTCAGAGTCCTCATCTTACGTGTATTTCTAACCTGTGAATCAGCATGATTATGTGCATTTATGTAGTTATACACGCATGCAATATCTGGAACTTCTATAAACTCAAACCTTGAACATGCATACACATTAAGCCCCATTAAATTAGGTAGTTACTTGTATAAGCAAAGATCAGCGATTTAGATATTGGACCCCCCTGATGCTGGCCAATCCCAAGGAGTTGGTTACAAGCCAACATCGGGGCAAGAACAACATCCGTAAACATGGCTATAGACAATAGTATACCATAGCTATAGATCAATAGAAATACCATGGCTATACCATGTTATACCAGTTATACCCGTAGTTTCCTGTAAGTTTTTCTGAATTCACCGAAAAACATGTCAGGCCTCTGCCTCCAGCGTTCCAGCTGAGGGGTCAATGGCTGAGGCCGGGCTGGTGCACATGGGATTGGTAAATGATAAAGAAATACTTTGCAACCCGGATTCTTTGTTTGAAGGACCCTATAGCTGGCTGAATTGCAGGGTGCAGTGGATGATGACTTGATGATTTCTTTTGTCCGGTTCTTGCCATGTTTGGTGGAATGAGTTTGCCATTGAATAGTGTTTTCTTGTAAGTATTTAGCGGCAACTGAATTTTCATCCTCGCAACAGAAAGCTTGTAAATGTCAAAAACAACTTTTGCTATTTCCTTTGCAAAACTGTTAAGTTGACAAATAGTAGAACATGAAGTATGAAGTAAACATAATCCTGTGGCATTTGGACCTTTCAGGAGCCAGGAGAGCCAGAAGAGATTTTGACGCCCTTGGAGCGGGTGGCGAAGCTGCCTTGGGAGAAGCAAGAAAAGCTGCTGGGATTGTGATCTAATGTGCTGGGAAAGCCTGACGATTGCCCGCCCTAAAGTGCCCTAAAGTTGTGGAAGGGTTGCGTGTTTCCAGTTTATCTATATTATGCAGGGAAAGCTGTTTGCAGACGTAGTATAATTACACAATATTACACAATTACATATACATGCATATATTAATATCCCATTCAATAGATTGTTCAGAGGGGCTGGCGGATTCGATTCCTTATGAAGATGAGTTGAAGTTGATAGCCCGTTACCCCGTTCAATATATGGTTCCGAGAAAATAGGGGGGTGATCCCTTAGGGATGGGGGAACGTCCTGGTCGGAGGGATGATCCAGGAAAAGTCTCCTGTTGCAACGGCGGGTCGCATTGTGACCCACAGGTTGATGTAGTGTTGGGCAGTTGGGCACAGTCAATTTGACGCTTCTATATATTGTTAAAGCCCACACATATATATATATATAACATATGCTGTCCATTGTCCATCACATCGAGGGAAAAAAACTATATGAAAGCGGGATAGGCTAGGTAGGTAGCTATAATCTGCATGTTTGCCACGATGATCAAATAAACAGATGCTCTACCCAACTTGGAGCTTCAAGTGACGCCACTAAAACCAACAAGTATTGTGGGTAAAGCATCGAGCCTGCCCTTTCGGTGTCTTCCCACTGGTTGGTCAAAGCAAGGACAAGGGTAACCACATGCAAGCACTGAACGACCAATAGGCACTAGTGAGTGATGACAAATGGTCTACCAAACTATATGCAGTCTGAGATGCAGTAGCTCTTGTTCATTCCAAATGGACATCCTTGGTCCGTGAACTGCTTCTACTTTAGGGTTTGGATGTGTCTGAAAATGAGCCATACGGTCCTTTCATAGCCATTTCAAAACAGAAAAAAGCCTGCAATTGGGCTCCCATTGAGGATTTTCCCATGAAGACTTTATTTATACGGCATTTTCCAGCCAGCCACGTTTGATTACCAGGGGGTAACAGGGAAGATTTGGCAGTGAGGATCTACGCCATGCTTTTGCGCGTGCTGGAACGCCTAAGGGATCAGCCGGAGGCGCCGCTCAGATGGGGGACATCATGCCCGGCCGGAGAAAAATATGTGGGGCAGGGGATGCTTTGGGTATGGAACGATATCATATGATATCTATATATATAATTTTCCCACAATGAATGAAGTTTGTCCAGATGTGGTTGCTTCTTGATTCTTAACTAACTTTTCTGGGTTGGTTTGGGGGCTGTTTGAGATATTTATGGAAGCAGGGAAGTCAGTTGAAGCCCATTATTGCAGACCTCCCGTGCCATTGACATGCATGGACTATTGCATGGAAGTAATCTAAAGAGAAGACAAGCACTGACAATGCATAGCGTTCAGTATGCACTTCTGTGACATACACGCTCATAGTATGTGATTGTTCTATCCTAGTTAATTGTATTGTGTGATATTATTTTGTGTGATATTATATATCGTCTATGTTTGTGTTCTTACTTTCCATTGCAAGACAACTGGGCAGTGATAATTCCATCAATTCCGCTGGACTGAAAGATGGATGATAGAGATACAGATAGGTGCGAAATTTATAGTATGTATTATAATATATATATATTATATATATAATTTATATATAATATATATATATTATATATAATATATATATATATATTATATATAATATAATATATATATATTATATATATGTATATTGTTAGTACATATCTATTACATTTACATAGGTCCACCCACCTATAGGCACAATGCGTTCGCTGTCCAGGAGCCCAAGTTCCGCTCGCTCTCGGCCAAGAGTTCCAAGCTGCAGGAACTCTTGGAGCCTCCTGGAGGCGCCCTTGGGGTGCTGGCGCCACCCTGGTGGGGTCCGCGGGGTGTAGGTCTAGCAACAAACATCGGGAATAGTTATGAGCATGATTAGTCATGGTTAGTAATTGTTAATCATGATTAATAATGGATAATGATGGTGAGTAATGGTTAAACATGGTTAATAACGGTATAGATAAAAAAGAATAAAAAAACTGTATAAGCAACAATTATAGATGAACAATAGATAACTGGAATAATCATCCCCAGTAGAGGTGTATGGAATTTGGGTATAACCCTAGAACCTAAAAGGATTGTTAGCCATGAGATGTAGCCCATTCTCAGAGAAATCCATATTTTATATTTAGTATTGTGGGAAACCCAATTCTATCAGCAACTGCCAAAAATGGTGATTTGGGGATGGTTTATGGCAGTTTATGGCATTGGGTTTGCCACATTAGAGGTCTGTGAATTTTGGATATTGATATCGACCTAGAACTAGGATGATGTATCCCCTAGCGCTAATTAGGCTAATGGATGGTTACGGGAAGGTTTTTGCTGGTTTACCACAGTTGATTTGGCTTCAGTTGGTACTACTGTGGATGGAAGAAATCCTGCACCACCCTGGATGGTTGAAACCCTAAAATTAATGGGATAAACCACATATCAACTGGTGCAGGATTTCGCAACCATCCACAGTATCAATGAAATCTCTCGGATTTACGGTGTCATTTTCATTTACCGTGGTTTCATTTTCAGTTGAGTGGGTGAAACTGAGCCAGCTTATCAATGGGGGTCCACTGTGTAAAAATGGAATCCTTTGAAGTGCTGGGATGAGCTTGTGATTATGCCGTGCTTCCTGAAGTTTGAAGATTTTTACAAACGTCTCTCCAAAGTTTTCCAGGTTGGGAAGTATATAGTCTGTTCTTATAGTTAATTAGTAGTATTCTTCCGGGTCAGGAACTTGAGGTTGTCTTCCTTTTACGCCCAGTTGATCCGCACTTCTCGGCAACCAGGCAATCTCCCCCGCAAAAAATGTCCTGGGTAGCAGCCGCTTCTTTACCTCCCCCATGTTTGTTGCTTCAAGCCCCTGGTTGTTGTTGATGTGGTGTTCCTTTCTTTCGCGAAAGGTCCGATTCAGTTGTTGTGTGTTTTATCTTCCCATTGTCAATGTGGCCACACATTGACAAACATCCCAACCATCTCCAACAATCCATACAGGCCATGTGTTCCAATGATTTGTTGTGATATATGCCCCATTTTGGTGAACGGTCCATCGTTCGGAGAACTTCTTCATTTTGATGTTTAAATCAGCTAGTTCAACCTATTTCTTGGTTCTCTCCCTCTTCTTGATGATTTTCATGGTTATGTAAATCAGCTACTGGTTGGTGGTTTGGAACATTTTTTATTTTCCATAATATACGGATAATCCTTCCCAACTGACTTTCATATTTTTCAGAGGGGTTAAAACCACCAACCAGTATATTATTATCCCTTTATATATGCATAGAATACCATATACCCATAGTATATCCAACCAGTATAAATCAGCTAGTTCTTGGTTGCAATGGGTTTTCAAAGCCCTCCATTTTCGTGGCCGTGAACTCCAGGAGAATCGCTTCTCCTCTGGTGCGGCTTCGTCCTGCAGGGCGATCGGTACCTGGCCGCGGCTGCGGAGTTGGACTTCGGCGCGCGGCATGAGGAGCTGATGGCACATGCTACGCGTGGCCGGCCTGCACCAGGTTGATCAGTGGTAAACATCCCATGATTTATAGGGGTTTAGTACACAAATACATATATATATATATACAGTACTTGCAGTACCATGTAGCGCGGTAAAACCTAGTAATTTTGTATGGTTTATACAATCCATTTATGGTGATTTTGGGTTTTACATCTTTCAATCATCCATTTGGTGCTGCAGAATTTCACAACCATCCAGAGTCCAGAGTATGTATATAATGATTCCCCCCATCTTTTGAGGAGAAAAATGGTCAATTCCATCAGTGTCAACAGCACCTTTTAGTGAGATTTTGCCCCATTTGTTTTGGGGTGAAATTGTCCAACTTCTTGCTCGTGGTTCAGGTGCTTTGGTTATGAAGCTGCTGCAACTAGTTACGTAATGTTGCGTATGCAGTTTTACCAACATGTTTTTCCCTGTTGAAAATGAAACTTCAAACAAAGGCTGTGTGGGAATGGTTTCATCCTAATTGGAAATGAATTCGGCGGGGGGTGATCATGGAAATACATCCACAGGCACCCTTTGGTCAGTTTTACGCATCAGTTGTTGCTGATGTCCTGTTTTGGCAGAATAGCAACCCCCCCAAAAAATCAAACAAAATTAAGGTGCCCGTCATCTATGAAAATGTGTATATTGTTTTGGGTCTGCTTGCTCAACATGTTGATTGAGGTAAGCTCAAACCTCCAATTGGGGATGAGTTATGACAATCTACGGTCGAATACAATCCCCCCCAGTAAGAGGTTTGGGTATAAACCAATTTACTGGGAAATATACAGGTATGATCAAATTTGAATAAATTTGATACCTCTATGATAAACATTCATAAACCATAGTGGACCGATGTCGACCAACTTAGCAATCAAAATGGCTTACCACCTACCCATCACCTTCGTTCACCGGGCTCCCCCAAGGTGAACGAGATACGGCCTTCCGCGCGGCTCGAGATCAACGAATTGAGGCGGAGAAATTGAAGGTGCGGCAGTGGTTGTTTTTGTTACATGGGAAAATGGACGTAAAATAGGGATATAACGGGATAACACCAACGAATATGATGATACCTTCTGATACCTTCTGGTATTTTAACAGCTTGCGACATGGAAAAAACGACTATTTTTAATCATCAGGCACGTGATTGAACTTATTGGCCATGGCTTCCATTGCAAACCGTTCGAGTATTGAGGATATCTCTGTGGAATAGTGGGATATTAACGGTATATTCATGGGATATTGGATGCTGTTTTTTTATGTCCAACCAACTATTTGTCGTCTTATATTGTCTTACAATAGAGTATGTCCTCCCTCTATATAGCCATTTTCTACAGTAGCAGCGCAAATTATGACGAACCAGTGGACCGGATGGACTGTTTTTTCAGATAAATCCCAATGTCACTCAGCGTCATTCAGTGTTTCCAGGACCAGCCAGAAATTTCAAATAGCTTTTGGCTTCTACGCATTATTCTAATCACCGTTTCCTTGAACATTATTCTAATTCCATCATTTCCTGTGCTGAGGAAAGCAGGCATGATCATCACGGTCCATTTTGTTCTCTGTTTAATCCAATACTTTGGCTGATCGAGTTGCCAATACCTTTCTCCCTATCCGGAGCTTTGCCCACAAAATCACTTAGGCCTCCCAGGCCTCCCAATGCCCATTCTTTGTCCAGCAAGCAGACAAGATCCCATACTTTTGTCCACATATTTGTTTGTAGCAAACAACAAACACGCTTCCACGGTTTTCAAATATCTTCCGTAAAAGAAACGTCTAAAACATCCACAAAATCCGTTAGTATATGTTCTCCAGAAAAAAAAAAAAAAAACATCTTCAAATATCCAACCTCCCCATGTATTTGGCATGGCTTTCCCCCCATTTCTCCAGTCTGTGGTTCCACCGTTTCTTCCGCCTTATGCCGGCCAGGCCCTCCCAACGGGTGACTTCGGCCCCCCGCTACGGCGCTGGGGCGGCCGGCTGCCAGGCTTTGGCTTCGGCGCTCATCGCCTCGCAAGTGCGGGGATGCAATGCTCTAAGCGACTGGGTGCTGAAGAGTGATTTGTTACAAAGATGATGTAAATCCAATGACTAGGAATCTATAGTTAGCAAACTATGGTTTGTAACCTATGGTAAGTAATCTATGTTTAGCAATCTATGATGATTAGCAATCTATGGTTAGCAATTTAATGGTTGATTAGTAATCTATGCTGGTAAATGATTAGGAATCCAGTGGTTAGTAATGGGTTAACTGACAATGGGACAAGAATGTTTTTTCAAGAAAAAAATCTACTAACCAGTAAAGAATGTTTAGTTGGGAGATGTTGGGAGTTTCAAATAATTGTATTTTTTCTAAAAAAAATATACATAGACCATACTGGTACATAGTTGGGATGGTTGGTTGGGATGACAAGCATATTTCTGGGATAGGTACAAAATACCAACCAATTGGTATATAATGGTCCAAGTTTGCTTAGTAATCCATGGTTTGTAATCTATGGTTAGTAATCTATGATTAGTCAATGGTTAGTAATGATTAATCGTCTATGGCTACCATTATGTTACCGCCATGAAAAAAACATAATTTGTGATTAGTAAGTAAGGGTGAATCATGGTTGGTATACTGGTAAAACAATGGATGCAAAATGAATGAGTGGAAGAACCAATAATAAATACTCCCAATCTTTTTACCAGAAGTAGAGTTTGGAGTTTTGTTGAGTCGAAGCATTGGCTGCAAGGAGCACATAATAAAAAAAACAACCACATGATCTAAAAACAAAACACATGAGTGTAGCATTTTGGAATATATGTTTCGTCTAATGAGGATCCTATAAATGATCTGTGATTCCTCTACTGTCTCAGATGGCTTTCCGTTATTTGTCCACTTGGGACCGCCACATGATCAGCCAAAGGGGTCAGTAAGCTGCGAACAACGGGAGTGGAGGGGCAAACATGACCAACCAGTGGTGATTTGTGGGTAATACAACTTGCAACCACCAAAGGGATGTGAACACTGAAAACCGAGAAACAAAAACAAGGTCACCAACAATCCTTGAACAAAAATGGTTACATCCAATCACCTAATATCCCAAATACAATTCTAGGACATTCTAGCTGACATCTATGCTGACATTTTCTGACATTCCATCTGGCATTCTATTTTACATCTCTTCTGATATTCTATCTGACATTCTATGCGACATCTTGCACTCGCAATTGAGGTCCCGCAGTGCCCACTGGGATCTGGCTCTCGCAGTTGAGGTCCGGCAGTGCCCACTGCGCTCTGGCGCATGCCGTTGAGGTCAGGCAGGCAGCACCTCTGATAAAATCTAGAGACCCTCACCTGCCAGTTGGGGAAAAACATCACAAGGGAAGAAACCAACAAGAGCCTGTTTTTGAGCAGAAAAAAAACAGTTCACAAAACATGTGATCTTCTTCCCTTAGGTCCCATCTGTCTCCGCTATCCAACAGGATCATGACGCGCGTCTCCTTGCCGCTAGAGCCTTGGCCAAATGTTTTTTTGGGTGTTTTCCAGGGGTTGTCCTGAAGATTTTCCCTTAAACATCTTTAAAACCAAGTCTGCGAAAATGGAACAAAACCATGAACAAAAACTAGAGTGTGCTGTTGTTCTTCGATAGGTAATAAACCATAAGCTGCCGTTTTTATTGCATGGTGGATCTATCTACAGCTGAATGGCTGAACAAACCAACCACTAAAAACTGGGGATGGGATGGATTTTGGGTTTTCCAGTGCCAGTTCGGTCAACTCCAAATCCTCCAAGTCTTCGAAATCGAAGTTTATTCTGAAATATCCCGTGAAAGATATCAGTGGTCATATAAATGACAGGTGCCCGCTACATACATACATACACAATCACACACACATATATTATATATATATACACACATGGTACAAACTATATTTTTCATTAAGCTATAGTATTCATACATAATCAAACAAAACTGTGCTTGATACTGAGGATGGTGGCGAAATCACCAGTTAATAGGCGGTTTATCCCATTATGTATAGGGTTTCAACCATCCTCGGCAGGATCCCCGGCAGCCCCGCGGCTTCCAACTCCTGGACCTGGCTGCCGTCGGCCCGTTGGGCCCGTCGGCGACGTACCAGCTGAGCGGTGTGGTGCAACACATCGGCAGCACGCCGTTCTCGGGGCATTACGTAGCGTCCCTTGGAGAATAGGCTGGGATGTGTTTCAGATAGAGGCCCCCCACAAATCCGAATTCGATTAGTTATCACCAAACTCAGCACACTAATTCAGGTCAACATCCATCAGCTTTACAAAATTACTGGCCATTTATCCTATAGTAACTTCAAGCAGATTGAAAAGTCAAATTCTGCTAGAGTAATGATCAAATTGATGAAAAGTACTGTTCTATGGTCTTGGTGATTCCTAAATATAGTTATATAAAATTATATTAGTTGCTGGATTATTCAAGCATATTCAGTTCATCCGCTTATATTCTACATTATTCTACCATTTATATCCATTCTGTGGATGGTTGCGAAATCCTGCGCCACCTTGGATGGTTGAAGCCCTATGAATAATGGGATGTTTACCACCTATCAACTGGTAAGGAAGATTTCTTAAGACCAGGTGTTAGCTTGGGAGTGAGGTGTTCCAATTTTGTAAAATAACTTTTTTTTTTAAGGGTGCAATGTTTCACCGCGACCCATTGCAAACCCATTGGGGCGTCAAACTTTGCTGTGCATATTCATCAGCAAGTCCAGCAAGTCCATAAGAATTTGATCGTCACATGTTTCATGATTCATGTTTTTCTTGGGGCCTGAAATGTTTTGGATACACCCATCACGACTTCTTCAGCGCATAGATCCATGTCATGCCAATATTGATGCTGGGTGTGCGTTTCTGACAAATGGATTAAAGGAAATGGAAGCTAACCACCGCAGAGTGACTCTATAACTGGGAAGGGAGAAGCACAGAACACAACTACAAGTATCACAACTAGCACGGAAACAAAATTACGAAGACCCAACTTCCAACTTCATACCAGCTAGAAAAGCCCTGCTCACCTAAAACATGTTGTCAGCAATACATCAAACATCCCACGGTCCCAAGGAAGTAGTTACTAGTTTGGCGCCAATCCGCAATCAACAACAAACCACTAGTAGAATCCAGTCCGAACTGTTTCAAAAGAAACACCCATGTTAATCATTGAATTTGATAGCGCCCGGCAGTTTCAACAAGAAGGTCTTTGAAATTCAAACACAAGTTCATGGCACCAGCCCCTGGCAACACAACGTTTAAACATCTTAACGTTTAAAAAGCTTGTCGTTTAACACAGTTTCATCAAAAACACCTGATTTCAGGAAATCGTTTTTTTCAAACAGCAATTTTCACCCAAATTTCATGAAGAAAATTTCAGGGTTGCACGCTGCTTCAGTCAATTGGTTGTTCATATTTGCGCTGGTCCAATCCAGTCTTCCACTTTGCAGAAACCTTTTGGCTCATTGAAATCTCACTGCTGACAGCAACCATCGATGAACACAAGCGTCAAGCCACAGCAGCCACACCCGGGCACAAAATTGTAAACACAAATATCGATGGAGTTTGCAGTTTCCACATGGATGAACCACTTAAGGTTTAGACAACCATAGCTGAACCACTGAAGGTTTAGCCTGACCTGAGCCTATGGCATCTCAGCTCGAGGAAACATGGAAGGTGCGCCAGAACGAGATCGAGGCCTATCGATTCCAAGGGCTAGAGCATTACGCTCGCGCGATGATGCGGGAAAAGCTGGAAAAAAGCCAGCGAAGAAGAGAAAAAAAGAGAGCAAAGCAGAGGCAGCCCTGGAAGAACAGCCATCATCTCATTGAGATAATTACTTGTTCGGTGCTCTCCTTCCAACTGCCATTTATTCAGACATTCTGTCTGTCATATTTTCCAACATTACAGCTAGCATGTGAGGAGTGCTTTGTACATTTTGACTTTGAAATGTGCTTCGCGCCACAACGGCGTGTATGTATTTGTTTATCTCTCATCTGGCCAGCTGGCTCCGCACCCGCCGCTTTAGCGAGCCTACTTTTCGACCCTCCGTAGCCACAAATCATTGGAAAAACACAGTGTTTCGCGACTTTCCTACCTTTTCGCGCACCAGTATCTTCATTCTTCTGAGACTTTATATTTCCCGAGAGCGTCTGAGCGCAGGGTTCTTCCAATAGTGGGGGTCTGTAAAACATCTTCTCATCTTCACATCTGCTCATCTTCACATCTGCTCATCTTCACACCTTCCCATCTTCACATCCTCTCATCTTCACATCTGCTCATCTTCACATCCTCTCATCTTCACATCCTCTCATCTTCACATCTGCTCATCTTCACATCTGCTCATCTTCACATCTTCTCATCTTCACATCTGTTCATCTTCACATCTGCTCATCTTCACATCTGCTCATCTTCACATCTTCTTATCTTCACACCTCTGCTCATCTTCACATCTTCTTATCTTCACATCTTCTCATCTTCACATCTGCTCATCTTCACATCTGCTCATCTTCACATCTGCTCATCTTCACATCTTCTCATCTTCACATCTGCTCATCTTCACATCTGTTCATCTTCACATCTGCTCATCTTCACATCTTCTTATCTTCACACCTGCTCATCTTCACATCTGCTCATCTTCACATCTGCTCATCTTCACACCTTCCCATCTTCTCATCTTCACATCTGCTCATCTTCACATCTGCTCATCTTCACACCTGCTCATCTTCACATCTGCTCATCTTCACATCTGCTCATCTTCACATCTGCTCATCTTCACATCTGCTCATCTTCACATCTGCTCATCTTCACATCTGCTCATCTTCACATCTGCTCATCTTCACATCCGCTCATCTTCACATCTGCTCATCTTCACATCTGCTCATCTTCACATCTGCTCATCTTCACATCTGCTCATCTTCACATCTGCTCATCTTCACACCTTCTCATCTTCACATCTGCTCATCTTCACATCTGCTCATCTTCACACCTTCTCATCTTCACATCTGCTCATCTTCACATCTGCTCATCTTCACATCTGCTCATCTTCACATCTGCTCACATCTGCTCATCCTCACCTCTTCTCTCACATCTTCTCTCACATCTGCTCATCTTCACATCTGCTCATCTTCACATCTGTATCTCATCTTCTCATCTTCACATCTGTTCATCTTCACATCTTCTCATCTTCACATCTGCTCATCTTCACATCTGCTCATCTTCACATCTGCTCATGTTCACATCTGCTCATCTTCACATCTTCTTATCTTCACACCTGCTCACCTTCTCTCTCATGCCTTCTTTTTATCTTTCTCTCTTAAGGCCAAGGGTGGTGCCGGCGGCGAGTCACGAAACGTCAACCCTTTCGCAGGAAATGAGGGTCGATCGGCAAAAACTGAGGTAAAATTGCGATTTGACTTGTCCCGGAGCAACCCTTTCGCACGAAATGAGGGTCGATCGGCAAAAACTGAGGTAAAATTGCGATTTATCGTGTGCTGGAGCAACCCTTTCGCACGAAATGAGGGTCGATCGTCAAAAACTGAGGTAAAATTGCGATTTTACTTGTGCTGGAGCAACCCTTTCGCACGAAATGAGGGTCGATCGGCAAAAACTGAGGTAAAATTGCGATTTTACTTGCCCCGGGAGCAACCTTTTCGCACGAAATGAGGGTCGATCGGCAAAAACTGAGGTAAAATTGCGATTTTACTTGTGCTAAAGCAACCCTTTCGCACGAAATGAGGGTCGATCGGCAAAAACTGAGGTAAAATTGCGATTTTACTTGTGCTAAAGCAACCCTTTCGCACGAAATGAGGGTCGATCGGTAGAAACTGAGGTAAAATTGCGATTTTTCCTGTGCCGGAGCAAGCCTTTCGTCTGTGTGTAAAAGCGTCTGTGTGTAAAAGCGTCTGTGTGTAAAAGCTTCTGTGTGTAAAAGCGTCTCTGTGTGTAAAAGCCTCTGTGTGTAAAAGCGTCTGTGTGTAAAAAGCGTCTGTGTGTAAAAAGCGTCTGTGTGTAAAAGCGTCTGTGTGTAAATGTGTTTGTGTGTCAAAGCGTCTGTGTGTAAAAAGTGTCTGTGTGTAAAAAGCGTCTGTGTGTAAAAGTGTCTGTGTGTAAAGGCGTCTGTGTGTAAAAAGGTCTGTGTGTAAAAGCGTCTGTGTGTAAAAGCGTCTGTGTGTCAAAGCGTTTGTGTGTAAAAGCGTCTGTGTGTAAAAGTGTTTGTATGTAAAAGCTTCTGTGTGTAAAAGCTTCTGTATGTAAAAGCTCTGTGTGTAAAAGCTTCTGTGGGTAAAAGCTTTGTGTGTAAAAGCGTCAGTGTAAAAGCGTCTGTGTGTAAAAGTGTTTGCGATGCAAACTATTGTCTTGCACTTCTCACTATTTTGTCTTGATACTCCTCTTCTCGACTGCCTATAACACAGCTTTCATATACCGTTTCTAAAATTGCATCTCCATACTAACAAGAGAAGACCCTGCTCCTCTACGCTCTCGGGTCATCCGTCGTCTAGTTTTTTTGATATTCTTTCTCTTTCTGTTCTCTTCTCTGACTCTCTGCTTTTCATGTGTCCATATTGTCGGAAGTTTGACTTCTAAACTTCCTTCGGTTATAAAAAACATATGCCCTTACACCAATTGAAATTCAAACAGAGAAAGGAATAAGGCACCCAGCCTCAAGGTTTTGGGACGGGACGCAGCGCCACTGTTCCACCATTTTTATTTTTCTATTCCACGTGAGCGACTCCAACCTCAAAGGCGTTGAGGTTGAGATAATTTAGGAAAACAACCATTGTGGCCTGAAATGAAGCAAGCAAAGGAGCTAGTCAGCTACTCGAGCATGATATGTATATGTCAGCAGGACAGCTGGTACCCCTGCCATTGACCTGCTGTCCACATTGGCCCGCATTTCTTCATAAACACATTGGCTCGCCTTTCAAAGCGGGTGGGCCAGGAACAAAAACTTTGACTTGGGAGGGAGTCGCAGATTCACGTCGTCACGCCATGGCCAGCAAAAAGAAGCTGGCTGCAAGAAAGAGACTGGCAGACAGAAACTGGCAGACAGAGCAATCTGTCCGCCAGTGTTTCTGTTAGCCGCTGTTAGCCAGTTTCTTTTCTTTCAGCCAGCCTTCTTGCCAGCCACCACTTGGCAGCCTCATGAACAAATCAGTTCCCATTCTATGCGCTGAAGAAGTCGTGATGGGTGTACCCAAAACATGTCAGGCCCCAAGACAAGCATGAATCATGAAACATACGGCGGTTGCTGGTGAAGCAAAGTTTGACGCCCACTGGGTTTGCAATGGGTTGCGGTGAAACACGGCACTTTTTTCGCAAAAAATGTTGGATATTTGACAAAATTTTGAACACCCGATTCCCAAAATCTAACACCTGGTCTTAAGAAATCTTCCTTTGGTGCAGGATTTCTTCCATCCACCGTTTGTCCTTTAGTTTGTATTAGTTACAAGCCACCAGGTATTGCTGGCACCACGCTTCTAATCGCTGGCACTGCTTTGATGATGCCAAAGTGCGACCGGTGGATCCCGCAACGGTTCTGGAGGCCTTGAACGAGGCCTATGTGCCATGACAAACGATGGTGGGGGTTGATATTCCACATGTTATTGGTGGGAACCCAGGGTATGACAATTCCACATATTATTGGTTGTTTATTCCACGCATTACTCCGCAGATTTGTTTTAAGTGGTAGTTGTTTGGGTGGGGAAAAAAACAAAAACATGTTATACCAAGGGTTGGGCCATCCCGTCGGACACTGAATGTGGGTCAAAGAATCCAAGGTCGGTGGGATTCAAAGTAACTAAGACATCCACAGATTTATGAGACCTAAATCAAAACATGGAGGTTTCCTAAGTAATGGGGGCACGCCCAAATCATCAAAGACATTAGACCGGAGCTTTGTGTGGTGGTCAGATCCTTTCGAGCCCGGGCGGCCTTGAGACGTCGCAGTGAGTTGGCTGATGCATAGGTCCTTCAGGTCGTTTCTTCATATTTTGGACGTTTTTCGTGTGGATTCTCCCGAGGAGTTCTGCTCACGTCTGCGCCCTCTGCGCTTTTGCATGTTGAGTGTCGGACCTGCGTGGGTGTAGTTGTTTTCCTTCCTTGTGCCATCTCTGCCCACCGCTGCTTTTGTCCGCCTCTGCTGCGAGCTGGCCGTTGCACAGTTTCTTTTTCTGTGGCCTATGTGCAGTTGTTTTGCTCCTGATGTTGGCCTTTAGCCATCAGTCTGGGGCCACTCATCAAGAGGTTTTTTCCAATAAATCTTATAGTAAATGGTTGGTTATAGCACCATAAGTCCAGATGAACAGATGGAATGACTTGTACAATAAAGAAAATTATAGAAATATTCTGTGATCTGAAGGCAATGACCGGAACTTAGTATTGAAACCTTTGGTTTTGGGGACCCCACATTTTGAGAAACCCAGAAACCCACCATATTCTCAAATCTATATAGAGATTTCAGAAGCTCCAAAGATAGTGAGCATTAACCTCGCTGCACCGGGTTTGGAAGACCTGAAATGCCCCTAACCGGTCATCCACAACGGTCATCCGCAATAGCCACATTTTGCCGAGGTGTTTTTCTTTGAACAAGTGCCGTGTGCCTAAAAGGAAACACATTTGGAGGCAGCTGCGACCCGAGGGCCGGAATAGGGGGCTCCCTGAAACCAAAAGGGCTGGAACCAAAGCAATTGGGTCTTGTGTATGATGCTTTATTATGTTTTGTATATATGTATATATATATATATGTGTGTGTGTATCTTACATTGCAGGGGTGGAATGTTGAAGAATGCAAAGCCAATGTTGTTGTCTCAAGACTCCTCGGGCATTTGGAGGTTTATTCTTGGCAGGTGGAAATCTCATGGTCAGAGCATATTGGGTTCCGCAAACCATACATGTCACATTGCAGACATAAATATATGACTAGTGGAAGAAGGTACTGCTGGCACACAGAACTGGCTAAATACAAACTATATATATATATATATATAGATAGACCGCTCATTTAGTACTTCGAGGGTGGACGCTTTGAGGAAGAGTCATCCTACAGACAGCCCGGTCGATCCGAAACTACCTTCTGGCAAGCGGGGCAAGTCAGTGAAAGGACATCAACCAGAGATTCTCTCCCTTTGCGAAGCGATGTGATCACATCTGTTTGGTTCGCTGCTGTAAGTTGCCTCATATCATGCCTCAAAATGTGTCCACAGTAACTTCTTCAGATGTATGTTCACTTCTATAATGTCGCCCCACCTCAGCAACAAATTGGTTCATAAACCTAGCGCACTGTAGATACCAGTATAAGTCCAACAGTTATTTGTAGCGATAAACCGACTTACCAATCTTGGGGTCTCACATAAGCCAGGCGGCCATGCAGGGCCCGGAGCCTCCCAGTTCTGCAAAAAAAGGAGCTGCGCGACCGTGCAGCCAACAAGATGGCACAAAAGAGGAATATACAGACCATTGGGTCCAAATAGATGCTGGTGTAGGACCGTGTAGGACCATCCTGAATCGGCAGAAAAAGTTGTGAGGCAGATATAATAAGCAGTCTAAAATATAGGTAAGCAGAAGAATTACAAGACACGGGATGGTATGAATTGATGCGCCAATATCAAACACCAAAAAAAGGTGGACGGACAGACCGGCTGGATGATGGACTTGTAGCCGGGGGGAGGAAGGATTACCATTCTCCAACTGGCATAGAACACCAGATTATAGGACATACTATATTACCATAGTAGATGACTGTCCAGTCAATGATTCATTGTCACTCATGATTGCGCATGATTATTAGCATTGAATATCCAGTGATGACTAGGTCATCCATCCGTCCCCATTGCGGTTATGATAACAGATTGTGCGGTCGATGTTCCCCAGTGCGTTTCCGTGACGTGACCAACCAAGGTCCGATTGGAACAGGCCCGGGCGACCCCCAGCGCCAGTTGCCCTGCTTGCTCTGGAGCTCGGGGACCCAGAAACCTGCGGATGTGGAATGTTTTCGGCAATTATATTATGGACAAGTCCAATAGGTTTCCAGTTTGAAATTGAATTATGACTAGATTTTCTGTGTGTGTTTTGCTTCCCCTGTGGAAAACTGGTGATGTAGTATTCCGCAACCTTTTTCATTGTTTTCGGCATGTTTCATGATGTTTTCGACTTACAGTTTCGACTTCCGGGAGCTTGATGTCTTGCCAATTGTGTGGTGTCCGTGTTTGATCCTGTTTGGAGGTGGGCTACATCAGTTATAGCTGGCACATGTTGAATCGCGGCACATTGTGCATTTAATTTTGGCGCATGGAGATGCAATCTCCCTTATGCAACTCATAACTCATAACAATTGATTTTGCAGCGAGTCAGCACCTGGCTTCTTTGATTGGGTGCGCATGCAGAAAGCAAACTATCACCTTCGAATACTTACGGCGGTTACCTCCCCAATCGTTTGTTACTAAGTCGGGGATGGCATTCGCTTTTGAGGTGTGGTGAAAACAATAACAGAACCATCTAGAGTCCTAGAATAACGTCACGGCTCAACACGGCTTGGTTTGCAAATAGGGTATCCCAAATCCAATGATGAATTGTCATTGTTTCCCCTTAGGCCTATTTTGGTGGTATCCGCCATTTTCAGACACACCCAAAAAACATATTATATACTTGTCGGCTGTATCCGCATTAGAAAATATGACTATTGTATCCCCGTGATGCACGCATTTTTGTTGGCCAATATGATCCAATATAGCCCAATTTAGTCCAATATAACCCAATATATTCCAGCATAACCCAATGCAGTCCATTATGCGTTGGGTAAAACATAATTGTCATAATCTTTGTTGGTTAAATTCCTCTTGTTGATTGTTGGTGCTTGAGTCCCTGGATCCCATTGTTTCATCCCATGTTTTCATCATTGGTATCTTAGGTTGGGCCCTTAACTGACGTCACCCTTATCTCGAATTGATTGCTATATGCCAATAAGATCCCCATTAATTATGACCAATTAAATGGTGTATATGTATGTGTGTGTATATATATATAGAGATATGAGTAACCGACAGAATTAGCAGAAAACTAAAGTAGTAAGGAGTGGACATGGAATGTTCAATTTTGTGTAAAAACCTTTGCAACCGATAGGGGACCACCCACTTACCGATACCCTATTTTTATAGATACCATGGAAGTACAAACCTTCACAACCGATAGGAGACCACCCACTTTGGCCATGTCCATTGCAAGTAGTAAGTAATTTTGTCCGCCATTCATATCACAACAGTCATATCTCCATCACTGTGGCATATTGGTTGGTATTTGCCAAAGTTTATTTGTATTAAAGCCGCCGCACCCGATCTCCGGGACTGTTGGCAGGCTGACAGAGCAACAGATGGTGGTGGGGCCATTGCCATTGTGGGCGGAGCACCTGTGCTGTTGTTGGCGAATCGCAATGATATTCCCGGGGAAGATTTGACATACCATATTGGATCATACAGGAAGCACACAACGAATGTGGAGAAGTGCAGGGTTTTTGACCAACCCACTGGGTAATTATAAACACACTATTTGCTATAGATATGTAGAAAAACTTAAAGATAGATAGGTAGATAGACAGATAAATATGTATGTATTTAACAATTATTAACCATTGGCTTTGTGTTTGACAAATATTAATTGGGACATTTACCAATGTCACATGGGGATGCCAACGGGGACATGTACGGTAACCATACGGCAACCGGCAACCGGCTATCAAACAATGGGAACGTTCGTCATGAGGTTCGTTTATTTGATTATTGTTTGGTTTCTTTAAGTTGGTAGAACATTGCGCCGGTGAGCACGAAATGGATTGTTTTGGGATTGCGTTGCCAACTGTGGATCCAGTATTGCGGGGTTTTGCTGTGGTGACAAGTGATCAATTCCTTTGACCAATTTTCAGCCTGATCTTTCAGCATTGGATCAAGTGAAATCGAAAGGATTTTCTTCCCTCCTATTTGCTTTGATATGCTGAAGATGATTTTTTGTTTGTCAATTGAAGTCCACCCCTTGGGGAATCTATAGGGAATATGTCCTATTTTGTTTGCCGGATTCCTTCAGCAAATCCAAGTTTGGGGGAATTGTTCCATGGTTTCGTGTGCCACTCCATTGATCATTGCCGAGGCTCACTATCCCACGCTCTTGCGGCCGCGGTCGGAGGGTCGTGAGTTCTCTCTGCTGGCGACGGCTTTCGATCCTGAGCCGAGTTGAGAGAAGGTGGTCATCCAGTGGGTCTTAATTGAATCTGGAGCCCTGAAAACTATATAATCGTTTCACCGTATTTCTTGGGTAACATTTGGTTATATAATGTTATATAAACATCTTCAGCATAGAGATTCTTCTAACCTCCTGTGTCCTCAAACCTGGTTGGCTGGGAAATCCCCGCCCTAAACGGAGGGTTTCAATGCGGAAATCATCTATAAATGGTGGATTTTCGATTGCCATATGTGATTACATGGGGGGGAAAAAATGTTTGTAGCTACAATGACTACATAGGTCAATATGTCCACAGTTGACATCATTTGACTGGGTATTGTTTACAAAAGTTTGGTTTTGACCAATAAACCAGGAAGGTGTACGAATCAGTGTTGCACACGCGAGGACATCAGAAATAGATGACATAAACAAGTTGAATTTGCTTACTTTGACGCTTTTTCAAGTGATCATGGATAGAATCGAGAAGATAAGCATGGCAGCTCGAAACCAGGCCCACATGCAAATCACATGTCATAAGAGACAATCACATGTCCCAGTCCCTTGCGGGAAACTGCAAGAAGGACATCAGTTTCCCAAGCAACCGCCTACAGCTCGGCACCACTGTCAATCATCCATACCAATGCCAGAAGGAAAATATGCATAGCACAAAGTTCAGCTCGATATGTTGACTGGTCTTCGCCAAGAACTCCAGATGTGAAGGAACCGTCCGCCTGTGGCAAAGTGATGCTCCAGCCAGCAACCTTGGCGTCGGACCATCCGTTGCACCATCACTTGAGAAGAAACCTGCAGACTTGTTGCCACGGCTTGTGCAATGTCCCTGTAAAAAGAATCATATGCAGAAACCATCAGAATCCCGAGGAGGAGCAGGGCGTTCATGAACCGCTCTTCAGCTCGGTCAAAAGGAATATGTGGTGGTCTCAATTGCAAGGCTTCTGGACCATTCAAAACCAAATGTGGGCGACTTGGTTTTGCGGCGCCGTACTTGCACACCAAGCGAGGATCATGAGGATACGTTTGACTCTTTGGGAATTTACACCAAATAGCGCAACCAGTTGCCAAAGCAGCGTGACGAAGGTGTTTGGTGCCAGAACTCTCCCAAGCAATTTTGTGACATTTAGCGGGGTGGTAACAGGTTTGCGGCGCAGGAGTTTGAAGAATGCTGTCAACTTAGTCAACGCCTAAATGTTTCCACGGGTGTTTGGGGGTGTCTTCAAGATGTTTGGAGGGTCACAACCCAATAGCAAATGGTGCGTTCGCGAATTTATAGGGCCAGCCCACTTTTGAAAGGCAGTTGTAGGTTTGAACTAACCCTATCGCCTTCAAAATAAATACATCCCATATTGGGGTGGTCCGTGATAACAATGCTAAAACATAAGGTGTCGTTCGAGTTGTTTTCTATACTGGGTGGAAGGGATCAGTTTAAATGTACTTAACCCTCCAATAATCAAACATGGCAGCTGCCAATGGACAATCCCCTTGCCCAGCCTGAGGGTACCAGCGATCCAAGGATATGACGGTTGGGCATCAGTTGATCAGTGAGGGTCGCTGGATGCAACCTGAGCTGGACTTGCTGAAGGCCAATTTCTGCTAAGTCGCCGGGTGAACCAAGGAATTCATAGGTTATTTCAGGTTAGGTTGGTGTTGTTGTGTTGCTTTCGCTCTATGAAATTAGAAAATTTTAGTCTATAGTTATGATCATGTCATTGTGTTATTTACACTGGGTGAGTTTGGTTCGTTTAGTTCTAGCATGCCAGGTGATTTACTCTAACCAGGACATGCGCAGGATTGTTTAGGTTGAACAGTTCTGAACATTCAACTTTCTGGAAATGTGTTTCTATTTTTTCAGAGGTTGCTAGATGCATACACGGACCTGTCTGGTTTTACTTGGTGTCCAAGATTAGCTATGACATTGTTTATCCATTGATCGTCAGCTAACGGCTGTTTGCAGTAGATTTCAGGTTCCATTTTCCCATGAGTTTTTGTTCACGGGCAGATTTTGTGGTGCAAATCGTGGAATAGAATGCCCAACTGTTGTTCTTGTGGGTGTCTAAGATCATAAGAAACATAATTAGGGGAAAATCCCGCACATGGAACAATCATGGAGTGGCAGTTTGCAATCAACGCCTACTCCTGCTAGGCAAACCTTGGCTTGATCCCACATAGAAATGGAGGGATAGAACCTCCCTCTGGAGAACTATTGCGTCGTTTATCATATATAAGGTGTGCCAGCAATGCAGAAAGAACTAGTAACTAGAGAGACTACTCACGGTTGAGGGTGATATTGGCTTGTCTGAAAAAATATCATCTCAAAATCACATGGTGGATCATATTTTTGCCTTATGAAGTCTATGTTGGTGGTTCCATTTTCAGGTCTCACACATGCCACAGCCATATCCCACCAGAACGCCGCTAGGCCTTCCTTCCTGTGGGCGGCGTGGCGGTAGATGCGGGCGCACCTTGGATGTGGATTTGACACCTGTTGGCACCTGAACACATTCAGGGGACACTACCTGGTGGGTGGTTTGGAACATGGCTTTTATAACTTTCCATATATTGGGAATGTCAAAACCCCAACTGACGAAGTCATTTTTTTCAGAGGGTAGGGCTCAACCACCAACTAGCTACGATGTAGGGATATATCAAATATATGGGATATTTGTTTACAAAAAAACACAAGTAATGTAGTGCCCAACCAGCTGATTGCAGTTGAATTTACCTCTGCCCATACTTGTTGATATTGCCCGCACCTTGCCTCTACAGTTGGTGGTCACTAGTGCTTGACATTTTCACTTGGAACTTGGACCTGGCTGCCTCAAGCTGCTCTGATAGACACGTGGCCTCCATGGATCATATAAGGCAAAGTCAGGACCGAAGCCAATGACAATCACCCTTTCAACAGCGGCCTTTGGGACAAGAAGACAGTACGTGTTGGCACTGACTCATTTCTTGGCTTCGAAATGAGAAAGTCAGTCACGCCGAAACGGGATCTGAAGGCCTTCTTTGAATGAAATATGAGATCCCTTATCCCCAAGAGCGCCAGAACCATGGGGCCCCGCCCCCATCCCACCCTGCATTGACAACAACGAGGTTCCCTGTCTGGAGGGTTCTGGTTTCTAGATCTTGTGGATTAAAGTTGGCCTCCAAAAAACAGCTTATTTACATGTTTCTGTGTTAGTTTCAACCATTGTTTGTAGTGTATATCACCCTGCTTCGGTTCGTTTCACCATCCCAATGGCTTGGAGCCATCCTACCCCAACTCATCCAACCCGCCCTATCCCCGTTGACGCGCAACGCGGAGCCTTGCGCCATGGCGATCCATGGAGTGGTTTGGTCCGGCACCTTTGTTCGCGGAGCCCAAGAAGCGCGAAGGACCGCGGCTGAGTCGGAAAGCAGAAGAGCGCCTTGGAGCAGAAATGGTGTCGCACAAATCTTTGATGATACCCAACAAAAATGGCTGGTCTGTTTAATTTGCCGCATCAGATAAGTTAGGCATGTCCTTCGAGCCCCACACCCGCCCTGAGTTTCCAACGCGTTGCCAGGGACAATCAGTTGCTAAAGACACTGAGGTCCGAGACAGAAGAGTCTCGCAACCGACAGAAAGAACTACAAGAGATCATTGTCACAGCAGATAATGTGCCTCAGGATGTGAGGGGCTAGGTCCGGCTAGGTGATAGCCCTCCTTTTTGTAGTCCACCCAAAAAATCAGGTTGGAAAACAAGATGGGAAATTCGTGTTTCTCCAAGGGTGTGAAAGATCCTTGATATTTGGATTGGGATGTATTTTTTGTTTATGATTTATGATTGCATTCCTTACCAACCATTCACTGTTCGAACTGGGACATGCTTCATCCAGTGGCCTTTGGGATATTGGGAGGATGAGTTCTCCAGAATTGAGAGCGCTGTCTGGTGGGTGCTAAAGCCCCTATGTCATCCTTGTGGAATGGGTGGGCTTGGGTGACTGAATCGGCTACATCATAATCCCAAGAATATATATAAATGAAAATAACACACGGAAACACACGGAAGCCATGAGACGAATTGGAGAATGATCGGAGGTCGACCCAAATGACACACCATCCCGGGGTTTATGAAATTGGGTATATGCCCCGGATGTAAGATGACCATAGGACCATATAGATGACGCCAACTGAATGATAATTAGAGATTTGTCCGCATAATCCAGTTATGTCCCCTATCTGTCCCACATTTGGGTGTGTGTATTGTTGGGTTTGTCACACATTATCCATTAACCATCCACTCCTCATCCATTAACCATCCAGTATTGTTGGTCATTACCCATGAACCACCCATTATTCCTGAGGGTTTACCACCGTTCAAAGAAATCCACGTTATGTTGTTTATATGCCATGAGAACCCTATCTCCCATGAAACTCTCATATTCCATATTCCATGTAAGTAACACAAATATGTTTAATATATATATATATATATGATTTTGACGATAGATCATATCCCATATCCCATATGCCATTTAAGTTCTCATCAAACTCATATATATATATATATATTTATTTGTTTATTTATTTGTTTATTTGTTTATTTATTACTTTATTTGTTTATTTATATGTATATGTATATCATATCCATCTACCCCATATGATTAACATAAAGATATTGTTGATATATCCCAGTTCCATACCCCATATCCCAGAGTGATTCATCCACATAAATTCTTAAATCCATATAAGTATCCTATATCCCATATCTGGTTGGTGGTGTGGAACATTCTTTATTTTTCCATATATTGGGAATAATAATTCCAACTGACGAACTCATATTTTTCAGAGGGGTTGCAACCACCAACCAGATAGTTATCATAGTTATCACAGTTGGAAACTATAGTTTCATATACCTGTGGGTATTTCACTATAGTGTGGTTTATGAAACAAATCAAACCCTTCTGAATCTGAAAAATGCCATGACATTCGCCACCAAAAATGTCCCCATGAGCGCCATGGAGGTGGAGACGATTCTCTCGACCGTCCGCGAATTGGAGGGGGCCATCGTTATCTCTACCGCGTTGCATCGCCTTGGGAAGGCTGGAAAGTGGGGGGAGGGGATATGTCAATTGGATGGTCATGGGATTTTTTGATGTGTTCAAATGGGATGACATGCGTAAAAATGAGAGTTTCCCATTGGTTTTTATTTGATTTTGAGCGGATATCATGTGATTTTTCAATAGGGTTGAATGAGATTTCGATAGGCTTGAATGTGATTTAGTGGGATTTTGCAGGGGGGTCATGTGATTTCAATGGGGTTTTATGGGACGGTAATGGGATTTCAACAGGATTTAGTGGGACTTCAATGTTTAGTGGGGTTTTAATCTGATTCAATGGGGGTGTGAGATCCGTTGGTCCTTTGTAGTCCCAACAATGGATGATTTTCCATTGCCAAATTGCTTGAGGTCATGTAGAGTTCCAAGACCTTTCTCAGATCGTATGGTACTGATATGATGCATACTGTATTTACTTTTTGTTGGATCATTGTTGATCATGATTGGTCATCAAATTGATCAAAACTCCTTATTTGACTGAAATTCCTTGAGAATCATCTGAAACCAATGAGTTTTGGATGTTGCAGGCTACAAGGTTTCTGCATGACATGTAGTTGTATTTTCAGATTTTGACGCTCAAACATGTCAAGAATCACCCGCAAAACTCCAGCAAAGAAGTGTCAAATTCCCGTAAGAAAGAATCAAACTCCCGCAAATCCCGAAAAGTCATTAAACAATCTTGAGCCCACCTGATCACATCATTGACTGCAAAAAATATGACATATGCAAGGTCACTGAGAAAATCGTTGAAACTCCTGAAATTCTGAACTCTACTAGGAAGCAAGGAATTCCAGACATTTCTTGGAAAAATATGCTTCAGGATGATCTATAGCAACACGATTGCTATTTGATGATGTTCACCACAATGTATCACAGGAAGTATTTAAAAGTTTTTCGTCGCTGTGAATGGATATCATGATTCATGAACATCAATAGCCAGTAGTCGCTATGATGATTATATAGTTATTAACTATAATACTAATCATTATAACCAAGAGCCAGTTATAATCATAGAATTATTAGTCATCAATTTGATGATTACACTCAAGATGATGCTGGCCACTGTGATCACAGTCGCCATCACCTGGTGACCCTGGTAGCCCCATTGGTTTCCAAAGGTTCAACCACAAATCGCTTCCAACCATTTAATCTAGACATATCTAGACATGACAAGAGTCAATCATATATTTGTTGGGCTCTATGGATCTAATTCTGGGGGTCTGTGCGACTGAGGTGCCAGTTGGAGCTCACGTCTTTCGTGATCCGCGCTTCCATCTGCTGTTGGATCCTAGTCTTCCCAACCCAAAGATGATCTCCGTGATGAGGTTGCTTAAGCCTACTTAATATACCGTATATGATCGTATATGTCCATTAAACATCCTGAAGCCACAACAGCACTCCCTGGTGTGCTAACAGGGGCCGAGCATGTGAATGTGTTCGGGGTTTGCAACCAGGATCGCTTCAAGTCGCGCTTGCCCTTCTTTGGTTCGCGACAGATCGCCAACTCCTTACATGGTCTGGGGGCCGTTTGTTACATGGCGAAGTGAACTCGCCAAAGACGTGTTGGAAGCCCCACTGGTTAGGGGCGGAAGATGGTATAAATGATGATGTGCCAAACCGATGAGTAAATGATGATGAACAATCCATGTTTATCCATGTTTCGCTTCATTGCAATGGGTAAATGGTGTATGTAAATGAGGCCACACTGATCCGAAACCTCTATTTTTCAGGGGCATCATTGGCTGGAGCCCTGGGTTTGGGCAATGGACCGTTGCTGCCTGACAGGATCTTCAGACATGTGACACCTGCTGTTTTTCCAGGCGTCACTGGCAAGTTTTTTGCTGGCTTGATGCTCTTCTAGATTGCTTCTAGATTGCTCACCATTTGCTTCAATGAAACAAAAAACAGGATTCCCCAACCAGTGGATTTCCCATTGGGAAAATACAAGAAAAAACAACTTACACACAGCTATCAATCACCATTCATCACCATTATCACCAGTAACCCGCATAAAATCCCACAAATTATCCCACAAATTCCCATTCTTCTAAGGTTATCGCAGCAAAGGGCCCTGGGTGGAGATGGTTTCCATCCAAACCCAGCGGCGAATCCACGAGTTTGAGCCGCAGCACGTGTCTAACACCCTCTGGGCCTGTGCCCGGATGCAGCTGCACGAGCCATTGATGTTGCGAGCAGCTGGGTAGGCACACTTTCGCCTGGTTTTTCGCTGTTTTCTATGTGTTTTGTCGTTGACTATGGGATCATGAAATGATCTCAACGGGATGAACTGGTAGTGTGGCGCACTGTGGTTTGCAAGAACTGTGACCACACATGTTTCTCCTTCAGGTTTTGAAATCGTAGTGAACAAACTTGGGTATGCATGGTGATGAAATTGTTGAACTCGACAGCGACTGGTTTTGTTGAAGACCCCAGTTCCAAAGGTTCATTCCAACTGTTTTGCTATGTTTGTACTTCTTAATGCCCGTTCAAACAGGGCCTGAAAGATAGTGATTGCAATGTGATTGCATATTCTTATTGCACCCTGTTGGCTACAAAAGGAAAGCCACCGCATGTTTCCTTTCCACTACCAATTTCAGGAGTTGTCCAAGCCACAACTCCTAACGTCCTAAGGCATTGACCTGCAGGGCCATTGAGGACTCCACGGCCTGACATGTAGATGGTTTAGTGCCCATGGCCCGTAGCTCCTGTCACCACCAGGCAAAGGCAGACCAAGCAATCCATAGCCCAAGTCAGATCCTAGCAGAAGCTATGTCTCAGTTTTGGGGCGCTGTACTCAACCTCGTTAACATCAAAAGCTCATATCACAAGCTCCAGAATTTCTGAAGATCGTCGTTAGCCAGTTTTGCGGTTGGGAACGGGCCGGCACCCCATGAACCGCTGTAAGTGGCGGGGATGGAGCCAGTAACGGCCACGATGTAAACAACAACCAACAAAAAACACTTGGAGTAATTGGAATTTGTACTAACATTCTCTAACAAAAACTGCGGCTAGAGTGATTAAGTCTATTTAACATGTATTGTCATGTATTAACAATATATCAACCAACAAAATCATCAACATCTGGAAAGCATATAGACCACAAAATCTGCAGGACATTCAGCGCTTTTGTCCCCTGGATATCTCCATTTGTACCTGGGCCTTTGCCACGATGAAGCACCGAGAGCCTGAGTGGCTTCGTGCCGTGGTCCGTGCTCGCTGCGAGTTCGCGGATTTTTCGCCGCAGTGACGTGGTCAAAAGTGACAGTTCTGGACGGGATAGATCCAGTCTTTTGGTCACTTAACATGTGATGCACAGCCAAGCATCCCACAAGTAACGTCATGGTAAGTGCCGCACTGCTGTCCAGGAACATGTCCAACTTTGTTTGGGGCTTGAGCACGTTGGGCTTTCGCCACGATGCTTGCAAGCAGTTGTAGCGCTTTTGCAGAAAGAGGTCGGTAATTCAAGTCTACCTGGCAACGGTTGTAGTTTGTTGGTGATTACATTGAGGTCACCTATTCTTCGTGATATACTACACTACCTTGTAAGTATTGACATGTATGCATAATGTCTATATCTATATTACCCTATGTAATTGTTTATATGTATCATCACCACACCTCAAACTGCTAGCGGCCAAGGAGTATATACTCCAAGACAACCCCTTCGCCAGCGTCCTAGGACAACATGGTCTTAGCTGTTGGACGCGAAGCTTCGCGGAAGATCCAGGATTTCATTCCACAGGACGAAGCAGTGGTTGGTTTCAATTGCCATAGATTTACCCTATAAAAAAGATGTGGAAAAACCCGTGGGGATATGGGGAAACCCTGGGAACATGATCCTAGAAATGGTGGGTTTTTCCACATCGAAGTGTAAAGGTTTACACAGGAGGATTTATACAATTATATATATAATATAATATAATATAATATAATATAATATATATATATTTCTCCGTTTCTATGACATTCTATGACTGGCTTGAGGACTGGGACGAAGCCAGCGGGCCCCTGCTGGGGTTACAATTTTGATGGTTTACTCAACCTTCTCCCACATCCCTTGGGGGGGCCACCCCAACCTACTTGGAGTGCAGTTACATCCCAACTTTTGCGGGTTAAAAAACCATAGCATCTAGTTACACCACGCTACACCAACAAGAATAAGCACAACCATACCCCCAAGTAGGTTTTATATATATATATACATATATATCACATATGATCCCATTATACCCCATTAAATCATGATTTTTTCTTGGTTACTCCCCTTTTTTGAAGATATCTTGGCCCCTTGAGGAGCTGTCGAACTTCTCCTGGGCCCTGGCCACCATGGACCTTTGCGACAATTTGATGCTGCGCGCCATCGCGGAAGAGGTGGACCGCAGGGGTGACGAGGTCAACAGCTGGGACCCACAGAGCCTGTCCAACATGACCCTGGGATACCCCATCCGGGGACAGGGTGAAGGGAAACACTCCATGTTTGCTGGGTAAACTGGGTAAACTTAGAATTTACAGAGAAAGGGTGCCAAGTTGTGGTTTATTTGTGGTTTAGAGATTCCCATTTAGTGTTTACCCGATTTGCAATCTCAACTTGTTTTTAATTTGTACCATGGACCATAGGTAACAAATAGGGATGTAAATCTGGAAGCTTGTATGAAGGGATGAATATGGGTTTAATGGCTTATCATTGGACACCAATTCGGACGTGGATGGCCAGGTGTGATGCCAATATATCTTTGCTCAACGGGATGATAAACACCGTTTAGGAAAGAACCATCAGTTTATGTTGGTGGCACCATGTCTTTTTTTTACCCGTGTATATATTATATGTATTGTATTATATAGATTGATTGGCCGTAACCTTCCCAAACATCAGATACACTATCCATGATGGCGTTTGGTAATCGAACAGGCCAAGGAAAGTAAAACTTCAGGGAGTTCCAAGCCATGTTTGATGACACCGAAGGATAAATCCCCATAGAATATGTTTTTTCTCCATCCTTATGAATACACAATCTTATCATCCTCCCGTTAGAATTACATGGAACCCCTTGGTTTTTGATGATTAAACCGCATCATCATTGATGATGGTTCAACCGACCTAAGAGATGCCATCCCCAATTGCACTCCCAAGTAGGTTATATATCCCATTACATCCCATTCCTGCCCAAATAATCCCAAATATGTGTTTGTGTGTGTTGTTTATCCCCTGCTAAACCATGCTATTTCTGGTGTCTTTTTTTCCGGAAGGGAGCCATCCACCGAGGATGTGGGCCTACGCCACCTTAGCCTTGAAAGATGATCCGCTCTTCCGTCGGCTGCTGGACGCCTCCATCGCGCGGATCGAGGATCACGACACGCAAAACTTGGCCAACACGTCCCGTGGCCGTGGGGGTTTCCTGGGGGGGCCTGGGAGAAAAAAATGAGGTTAACCAACAACGCTCGGTCGTCCTGTAAACGCGCGCTTCATGAAGCGCTTTTCCCATAGGCACAGCGTGTGTCTGTGCATTTTTTACCACGTATATGAGGGTTTCGTGGTGTTGGTTTTGGGAGGCGCGTCCACTCCTTTTTTCATGGGACCCAAGCGTTGTCTTTCTCAATTTGAAACGCGTGACCTGGTTGAATACCCATTTGTTTTTTTCGATCTCTGCGATATTCCGCAAAAGCCGTCACCAGAGGCATCAACCCAGGCTTCTCTAAGAGACGCTTGGCAGCAAACTGCTGCACCTGAGCATTGCGTGGGCTGATTCTACCCAGCATATTGGTGCGGCGCATCTGGCCTTTCACTCGACTAATTTCAGATTCTGTTGAATTGTCGCCTCCGACGATCAAAATTTCAAACATTACATCAACATCGCAATGCGTTGGTGCATCACGCGTAACATGAACGTTATCACCCCACCACCCCACCCCACCCCACCCCACCCCGCCCTACCCCACCCATCAACGTAGCACTGCGTACCGATGTCAGCGTGCACGAACATTACATCAACATCGCAATGCGTTGTGCATCACGCGTAACATGAACGTTATCATCCCACCCCACCCCACCCCACCCCACCCCACCCACCCCCACCCCCCCACCCCACCCCCCACACCCACCCTTCACGTCAGCACTGCGTACGATGTCAGCGTGCACGAACATACATCAACATCCGCAATGCGTGGGCATCACGCGTAAATGAACGTTATCATCCCACCCACCCCACCCCACCCCACGAAACCATGATATACGTGGTAAAAAATGCACAAAAACACGCTGTGCCTATGGGAAAAGCGCATAAGAAAGTGCGCGTTTACAGGTCGACCGAGCCACCAACAAACTTGGAGCTAACCAAGAAACATGGCAAAATATGAGGGTTTAACATGATTTAACATGCAAATTCGGGAGATCGACAAAACAATTGGTTTAATTGGTTGCATATTCCAGTAACCAAATGTCGGAATGCAAAATCACTGCGTTCAATGGGTCGATCATCTACCAATGAATGGCGGCGGTTTTTGAGTATCAATTTTGACGATCGACATGGATCTCCAAAAAGAAAAGTTGATCGCAACCCAAAAAATAAAGGTGGGCTCACCTTCCCTTGATGTTTTCTAACTTCTAAGTTCTAACCCCCAAAAATAAGGATTCCCAAAAATAGTAACATACAGCATCTAATAGTTATATAGTAACTATTTTCCCAAAAGCATAACTATAACGTTCCCCTTCTGCCCATGAGGTCCTGGGCCACCGCCATGGTAGGTTTCCGCTGCTCGCGCTGGTTAGACGCCGCGGCCAGGGCGGCGGTGCGCATGATTCGCGACTGTCAGACGCTTCACCTGGCGCAGCTGGCGTTCGCCTTTGCGCGCTTCGTGAGCACCGGGGCAGCTTGGCACGGATGGAGTTCCCCATGTTTCCCCGCGGCGTGAAACGTATGGAACATCCACTTTAAATATGGTGGTTGAATGGGGAAAACCAGCAAACTTAAAATGATTTTTTGTTTTATGGATTTTCCAGTGCTACGTTTGATTACCGGAGGGTAACCATCAACTGCTTGAAGGTTACAATGATTTTCGGTGAAATGGAGTTATAGTGGAGTTTTAATGGGTTAACAATGGGAGTTTATTAACCAACTATAGTAGTGAATGTCCGGTTGGGGGTTGCAACATTCAGGCTTGTTCAACCATACTTGAGACGATTCGCTGTTATTTTGATATATTTTGGATGGGTTAAGACCACCAACCACGTACCACAAACGGTTTGACCACCAGAAACGGCGGCTTCATGAGATATCGATCATTGGATTACATATTATATATATAATCAGATTTCTTATTGCGGTTTTTGGATAGGGATTTACCCATTGGGGTCATCAAACATGGCCGGGAAATCCTGCCAAATGAAGCTCGTTCTATGGGAACATCATTATGAAATAAATGTGGATTTTACAGGAAGCCCTGCTTGATTGCTGAAGAGCCGAGGGAGCATTGATGAAACATGTGGGTTTTACAAACAAGAGAGAGGAATGTCATCAATTGTGTTCAGTTCAGTTCTGGATATTGATTCATTTTGGGGTCCCATACGTAGGACATTGAGGGATGGGGGTACTTGTATGTCCATGTACTGTACATTTTATGCCAAACTTCTATTTTCTGGTAGGCTATGTGCTCATGTTGTTATTTCGTTGTCATTGTTCCTTGGGTAGATCAGTAAACTCCCAGCTGTATACTTAAGCCTCATGTTTGTAAAATGCACATGTTGGCTCTTATTTGTAGCGGGAGTGAGATTAACACGTTCGTTTCTTGAATGTCCCATCCCTGCTGATTGAAACCACCAACCACCAACGGTGAATCTACTTGTCTGTCGTTGCTGGCACTAGGGCAGTTCCTGTTCAGAGCAACCCCCAAAAAGATTCAGAAAACAGAACATGTCGCCACTAAATGTTCCAATTGGATGTTGTTCACGTCCATCTTCTTGTGGATGTCCATTGTTTTCCACGATTTTTAGACCAAATTCTGCATCTCTTTGCGGGTCGTGGATGGTCGCTCCAAATCCATGGCTCCCTCCATGGTGCGCTTCGAGGAACGGCACGGCTTTCTGTCAGCGCTCCTCGAAGAGACGTTGCGACGGGTCGAGGAGTTTCCACCGCAATCGCTGTTCGACGTGCACGATGCCTTGATTTTTTTCAAGGTGATTCCCAGCGCCATTTGGGTGGAATGTGCAGTTTTCGTTGTTGGGGACTGGTTCTTAAGTAGAAGGGGATGATATGAGAAAGAGGGGTACATAAATACATATTCTGTCTATGTGTGCGTTTTGTTTGTGCGCGTGTTTTTGTTATTTTTTTATTTTCTGACAGATACATGCACATGTGAACCTAAGATGGCCTAAGTACCTCTGCTAATTGTACTATAGCAAGGTTTTGGGAAACAATCATGGTTTGGAAGCAGCAATGATGTCACACAACAAGTGAATATGTTTGATCATGCGCCCATCAGAACTTGAAGGGTTTCATTGTCCTGTCGGTTTTTTCCTAACTGTTGTAGGATAGAGCATGATAGAACCTTTAGTGGAAGAACATGCACGAACCATTGCAGAACTGCGTTTTACAATTTAAGCTTAAACTCCTTAGCATATATGTGTCAGTCGATAATTTGAGCTGCCATATGATATTTTTTTGGTGAGCTGTTCGCAGCTGCGGAAATTGATGATTTGTATTCCATGAGCCATCATTTTTCAAACCTGTTCAGCTTAGGAAGGATGATAGTTTACCCAGATGGTCAATCACCTAAACCTCCCATAATATGCTCACCAACGGATTTAATGTCCCATAGGACTCCCCATAACTGTAGCAGTGAGACAGGTGATCTTTACTTATAGAGATATCCAACATCATCCATTTTCGTTCAAGTGGTTGGTACTTGCATATATAGCAAGCTTATCGTATTTCCTTATACTTAAGTAAGGCTGTAGGGTTCACATCCAAGGAGTAATCACTCTTACTATTATTATGATTTTTGTGTTTTTTCTCAGTGACTTCTTCACTTGATAGCCAATTGTCATTATCAAGAGCTATTGAAGTCATGTTGTTAACTTGTCAGTATTGATGCAGGACTATTCTTCTCTTGTTAACTTATATGTTGGTTATTCCTGTGGGAAGACCAAGCCCTTCTTATATGTATATATATATATATAATTATGTATATGTTTTTTATATAATGTATATAATGCATGTGTGTGTGCGCGTGATTTCTCATTCGCTTTCACTGCGGCATTTATGTGTGTTTTCAGTGCATTGTTGTTTTTTTTCATCATGGTGATTGTTGTTCTCACTTCTTGCTGATTACATTCAGTGGATTCACACATATATGTGCTATTCATATTTTCTTATTTCATGTTTTACTCTACAGAAAACCATGCACCTTCCTGAGAAATATCATCATATGGGGGTTGCCTGTAAACTTTAAATGTTCCCTTAAAACCAATCCATTGAATTCAGTCATTGGTCATACGCATTTTTGTTCGGGGTGCAGTTTGGATTAGTAGTGGGTAGAACCATGGGATTTTAACCAACATAAGTTGGGATATAACTCCAAATTACCATGCTTACAGAAAACCACTTATAACTGGAACTGCACCACCATTGCTCAAAAACTTGAAGGATCACCCATGTAAATCAACGAGCTAAATTGCCATCTATAACATAGACCCGGGCAAGCCGGCGGCAGAAGTTTCCCAAACATAAATGACCTATAGTTCAAAGACAACCTGTCCCGACCGTGTCCTTCCCTCGACACTCCACACCTCACACTGCACACTGCACTCTTCGCACTTCAAACTTCAAACTTCACACTCCACACTTCACACTCCACACTTCTCACTGCTTCCTTCACACTCCAAACCTCACACTTCACACTTCACACTTCACACTGCACACTTCACACTTCACAGTCCACACTTCACACTTCACACTTCACAGTCCACACTTCACACTTCACACTTCACAGTCCACACTTCTCACTTCGCACTTCACACTTCACACTTCACACTCCACATTTCACACTTCTCACTTCTCACTGCTTCCTTCACACTCCAACCTTCACACTTCACACTTCTCACTTCGCACTTCACACTCCACACTTCACAGTCCACACTTCACACTTCTCACTTCACACTTCTCACTTCTCACTGCTTCCTTCACACTCCAAACTTCACACTTCTCACTTCGCCCTTCACACTCCACACTTCACAGTCCACACTTCACACTTCTCACTTCTCACTGCTTCCTTCCCACTCCAAACTTCACACTCCAAACTTCACACTTCACACTTCTCACTCCGCACTTCACACTCCACACTTCACTCACACTTCACACTTCACAGTCCACACTTCACACTTCTCACTGCTTCCTTCACACTCCAAACCTCACAATTCACACTTCACACTTCACACTGCGCTCTTCGCACTCCACACTGCACAGTCCACACTTCACACTTCTCACTTCACACTTCTCACTTCTCACTGCTTCCTTCACACTCCAAACTTCACACTTCTCACTTCGCACTTCACGCTCCACACTTCACAGTCCACACTTCACACTTCTCACTTCACACTTCTCACTTCTCACTGCTTCCTTCCACTCCAAACTTTCACACTCCACTTCACACGTCTCCTGCGTCCATTCACACTCAACTTCACTCACCTCACACTTCACACTTCAACACTTCTTTCACTTCTCACGCTTCTTCACCCTCAAACCCATCACACTTCACACTTCACCCTGCAGCGCTCTTCGCACTCCACACTGAAACTCACACTTCCACTTGCTCACTTTCCCACTGCTTCCTTCACACACTTCACACTTCACTCCACACTTCAACACTGCACGCTTCATCACGCCCCACCTTCCACACTGCTCCAAAAAAACAAAAAAAAAAAAAAAAAAAAAAAAAAAAAAAAAACAAATAAAAAAAAAAAAAACAAAACTAACGTACGTCCAACAAAAAAACACTAGTGCCAATGCCAAAATGGAGAAAATCTAATAACAAACGCATTTCGCAGCCTTCATGCAGCCACTCCAAGACGATTTCCGAGATCCAGCTGCAAAAGACAATAGTATTACGAATGCAGCCACAGCACGAAGCAACCTTGACGCAGCCATTACAATGCGATCTGCAGAGACTGAGTTGCAAAACACAATAGAACTACGCGCAACGGCGTCGGAAATTGTAGCTCCAAAACCGGATCTCGACGCCAGAGCGAAAAAAAGACGATTTTGAAGCACCTTTTAAAAGGATTTTTAGAAGGAAAATCACTAGCGCCAAAATGGAGAAAATCTGCTGACAAATCACTGTCGCAGCCTTCATGCAGCCACTCCAATACAATTTACGAAGTCCAGCTGCAAAAGACAATAGTATTACCAATGCAGCCACCGCACGAAGCAACCTTGACACAGCCATTTACACTGCGGGAACGATCCTACAGTTGCAAAGCACAATGGAATTCCATCGGCAACTCATCCACCAGCAACACTTGCAATCCCATTTACATTGCGGGAACGATCCTAGAGTTGCAAATCACAATGGAATTCCATCGGCAACTCATCCACCAGCACCACTTGCAACCCCATTTACAATGCGGGAACGATCCTACAGTTGCAACTCACAATGGAATTCTGTCGACCACACATGCACGAAAAACAGTTGAAACCCCATTTACAATGCGGAACCGATCCGAGAATGATCCGCCCATGATCCGACCATGATCCGAGCATGATCCGACCACACACGAGACCGTCTCGCACCCGTCGCACCGCAGAGGTAGATCATCGAGGTTCGGGGACGGACTTGGTATGGAAAAACATAGGGTTTCGTGCATCTGCTATCTCTCAAAAACGCATTTCGTGCGAGACTTCCTTCAAAACTCCATCGGCAACTCCTCCACCAGCACCACTTGCAACCCCATTTACAGTGAGGGAACGATCCTAGAGTGGCAAATCACAATGGGAATTCCATCGGCAACTCATCCACCAGCACCACTTGCAATCCCATTTACATTGCGGGAACGATCCTACAGTTGCAAACTGGTTGCAAATCACAATGGAATTCTGTCGAGCGCACATGCACGAAAAACACTTGAAACCCCATTTACAATGCGGAACCGATCCGACCATGATCCGAGAATATCCGACCATGATCCGACCACACACGAGACCGTCTCGCACCCGTCGCACCGCAGAGGTAGATCATCGAGGTTCGGGGACGAACTTTGTATGGAAAAACATAGGCTTTCGTGCATCTGCTATCTCTCAAAAACGCATTTCGTGCGAGACTTCCTCCAAAACTCCATCGGCAACTCTTCCACCAGCACCACTTGCAACCCCATTTACAGTGAGGGAACGATCCTACGAAGACTGTACGCTTAAAGTTATAAGACTTTACAGACTTAGCCTAGATATACAGAAGTTAAAGGATTTATGTTGGAAGTTAGCATGACTTATCAAAAAGATAAAAGGAAGTTATGTTAACTTTAATAACTTATTTGTAAGTTTTGTCTTAACTTTTCGTAACTTCTGCTAACTTTTTATAACTTCTGCTAACTTTTTATAACTTTTCATAACTTTTTGTAACTTTTTGTATATTTTTATACTTTTGAAAGTCTTTGCCTTGGTTTCCGACCACGTGGATTTTATAACTGTCTTGTTTCTGAAAGAACTTTCAGATATGATATCCTTTTTTTGAATCGACGAAGTGATGTGAAAGCGTTTCAGTTATGTATGTTTCAGGAATCATGACACCTGAGGCGATATGTTTTTTTTGGTGATATCTCTGTCTGTATTTTTGGATCTGGAAACAAGTTTAGTTGCAACTGTTCCCGTTCGGGATCCGTCATTTTGTTAAAACGATCCCGTTCGGGACTTGGTTGTTTCAACCTCTCCCTTTCGGGATCTAGTCCGTTCCAACGTTCCCTTTCGGGATTTAGTTTCTTCAACCCATCCCTTTCGGGATCCGTTTTTTTCAAACTGTCCCTTTCGGGATTTGGTTGCTTCAACCCATCCCTTTCGGGATCTGTTTTTGTCAAACTTTCCGTTTCGGGATTTGGTTTCTTCAACTCATCCCTTTCGGGATCTGTGTGTTTCAAACTGTCTCTTTCGGGATCTGGCTGTTTTCAACTCATCCCTTTCGGGATCATTTATATTCAAACCATGCCAGCGACGCAAAAACTTTTTTTTCTAGCCGGGGCATGAAACGCAGCTTCAATTTGGATCA